ACCACAAAACCAGTCTTAAGTCGCTTGGGTATATTTTTAGCAATAGCCAAAAAAAATATTGTATGGGTCAAAATTATCGATTTTTCTTTTATGCCAAAAATCATTAGGATATTAAATAAAGATCATGTTCCATGAATATATTAAATTTCCTACTGTAAATATATCAAAACTTAATTTTTGATTAGTAATAGGCATGGCTAAGAACTTCATTTGGATAACTTAAAAGGCGATTTTCTCAGTATTTAGATTTTTTTGCACTCTCAGATTCCAGATTTTCAAATAGTTGTATCCCAGCCAAATATGGTCCTATCTTAACAATCCATACATCAATGGAAAGCTTATTCAGCTTTCAGATTATGTATAAATTTCAATTTCGAAAAATTTACCCTTATGACTGGTTTTGTGGTCCAGGGTCACATGTTCACATTTTCCCGTTTATTACGGCTTCCATTAAGTTTAATAATAAATGTGGTTATTGTAATTGATTGTGTCCAAGTTCAGTTTGTTGCAGCAATGATTCAGAAAATAAAAAAGTAATTAGAATATAAATTTGTCTTTAAAATAATCAACGTGTTGATAAAAGCGTACAATCAGGCTTAACATTCTATTGAATTTTACGCCGCATCAGTCAAATCTGGGCTGCGTTCAGCCCCGACAAAACGGTGCAAACCGTTTTTTCAACGAAACGGTGGTGCATTGAACACCCTGTTCTGATGACGCAAGAGTTGCAACTATGGCAGCTGAGAAGGCCATTTTTTGTGTTCTTTTTGAAGAATGTTCGGAACCTGATGAAATCGGTATAAATACGTGTTTGATGCTGCAAAATACGCTCAATGTTACAGTCACTGCCCTTGCCGTCCAGAATAAAAGACAACATCCCAAACGAGTGAGGGGATTTGTGGAAACTGTGGTTCCTAATATTGTGATCCAACATTTGCCTCGCATTTCAGGATGAAAAGACAAACATTTCAGGTGAAGGATAATCCACTTCTTACCTCCAAGACTGTGTTATGATCAGCCCCGACAAAAACGGTGCAAAACGTTTTTTAAACGGAAACGGTGGTGCATTGAACACCCTGTTCTGATGACGCAAGAGTTGCAACTATGGCAGCTGAGAAGGCCATTTTTTGTGTTCTTTTTGAAGAATGTTCGGAACCTGATGAAATCGGTATAAATACGTGTTTGATGCTGCAAAATACGCTCGATGGTACAGTCATTGCCCTTGCCCTCCAGAATAAAAGAGAACATCCCAATCCTTATTATTTCAGTTATTTTGCCTTTAATGTAAATAAACATGTGCAAACAATATACTTGCTCTTGTGAATTTATTTGGATGTTAATTACATTGTGCGAGCTGTCTCTTTAATACCGCGTGGTTTATATACATGTTGCTGCTGATTGGGCTGACATTTTTGACACACCCACCAAACAAGAGAAAACGTATCTCAAACCCGGTTGCACACCGTTTCCAGGAAACATGTCTTTCAAACCGGAAACCGTAGCAAAACGTTGCGCACCGGTTTAAGCTTGAACTTGCCCCTGTTTTGAGTGAAGAAAAAAAACGCTTAAACAGCAATTACCACCTGTTCTTATAATTCATTCTCAGTATTTGAGAGAGACAATAATTAGATATTATGTAAATACCTGTACATATTTGTTTATACAGCTGTAAATACAGCTACAAAGACCTGTACATAAATATTTTGTTCCGAATGTATACCACGTTATTATTATCATTATTTTTCTTTTGTCTTATTTAAATGTTCTTCTATTCTCGTGTCATATACTGTATGTATGATTATGTACGTATGTATGTATGTATGTATGTATGTATCGGGGGCGTTTCCTCCGAGGAGGCAAGGGAGGCAGTGTCTCCTCAAAAAGTTGGATGAGAAAATAATCGATATTACAAAAATAAAACAGCGCAAATCTGATATTAAAAGTCTAAAAGTCACTTGTTTTTATAAAGTAACACTGTCCAACAGCGACACCCACAGGTAAAGTTACAGTGGAGGCTTGCCTCCCTTCGGTCCATAGACTTACAACGGAGACTCTAGTCTCGCATAGCCAGACCTTCAGGCTGACGGCTGAAGGTCTGGAATTCAGAGAAGGGTATTAACTGCAGCCTGGAGATCTCCAAATGGGGGCGGGAACTCCAAAACGGGGTGGGAGCTCCAAAATAGGGCGTGGCTTCCTCCCATTGACAGACAGGCACATGACACGCATGCGCAATTTTTTTCCCCCAATCCACTTCAGTGCAAACTCCGCCCCACAGCTGATTCTAAAGATTTTATTGGTTGTGTCAATTAAAGTGTTGATTTCCTACACTGCTACAAAAAATGGCTACCCCTAAACCTACCCCACACCTGACCCTAACCTTAACCAGTGAAATTGACTGCACGGCGGGATTGGCGCTGAATAGCGTGGTAAAGAAAGTTGCAGTTCAGGAGATAAACAGTTAATAAGATTATGCGATATGAGTTCATTCCGTAACTCCCCAACTGGACCTCACCAGACAATGGCACCTTTTTAGTCACACCCAGCATCACTATCCCCTCCTACCCTGCGAATTTCGAGCCCCGGGACGCCCCCGTTGCTTAGAACAAAGCATAGAGTAAAATCTTTCCCCTGCGCTGCGCTGGGACGGCTCGCAGGAGAGCTCGTGGGTGATTCTTGTTTATTAAGCAGAGGTTCAAACTCCAGTCCGAACACCACTGGACACGAGCTTTGGGCTCTGCTCTCACGGAGAATATTTATTTATATAGCACATTTTATTTTAAATGAACTAGAAACAATGTTTAATTTATAAAGTTTAATTTTGAAATGTAAGTGAATAACAATTGGCTGGAGCAAGAGCCAATGGAGGAAATGTTTGCGCAAGGAGACCCCGCCCCATAATGAAAGATATATCTTCGTGTCTGTGGCAGTGTTTACAGAGCTTGTATGACTTTGATCCGAAATAAGTTGACTATTAAAAAAATAACAGCTGAACATAAGTTCACAAATAAAAAATATTGGTAACATTTTTACAATAAGGTGTCATTTAATGAGTTAACTAACATGAACAAACAACGAACATTTATTACAGTATTTATTAGGCTAATCTTTGTTTACATTAGTTAATACAAATACAGTTGTTCATTGTAAATTCATGTTAGTTCACAGTGCATAAACTAATGTTAACAAACTTTTGATTTTAATAATGCATTAGTAAGTGTTGAAATTAATATTAACTAAGATTAATAAATGCTGTAGAAGTAGGCTATTGTTTATTCTTAGTTCATGTTAACTAAAGTAATGTTAACTAATGGAACCTTATTGTAAACTGTTTCCAGAATATTGTTCAAATTGTTACTGCCTTTAGTTATTATTTTGGAATAAATATAAAAATGCATAAAAACACTATGAAATGTATAATTAGTATAAAAATATTAAATAAAATACAAAATAGAATTATATTTGTTCTCTTTTTTTTAATGTAATATTTATATATAAAACTGCCTCCTCATTTTAAAACACCACCGCACACCACTGGTATGTATGTACCAAGAACTCATAAAAAACCACAACAAATACCTTAGCTGTGTCCCAAAGTGAAGTGCACGGACTCCGAAGTGCGCATTTGAAGTGCGATTGCGTCACAGCGTCACGACGTAAGCTGTCCCAATTCAGAATGCACCCTCCGAAGACCGCATTCCAAGGCCGATTGCGTCACTGCGGCGCGACGAAGGCTGACGTATTTCGAAAGCAACTTCAAATGCACCCTCCATTTCCCAGGAAAATGAAGTGTACATCTGATGGACACTTCACACCCTACCATATCCCAGAATCACTTCCGCGCAGATGACGATGGAATTTATATTAAAAGAACACAGAGGATGACAGTTCTGTGGGGGAATTCACATTGAAATGTA